ATTAATTAAAAGGTGCGTACTCTCCAATACACCACTGAATTATAGTGTCATAATATTTAATAATTATAATTAACATAGACACCTGACCTCCATTTAATAAACAATTTATTTGCCATACTCTGTTAATTTGAAGTTTAAAGTTTAAATCATTTATGTTAAACTTAAATTATTTAAAAACTTAAAAAGACTTAAATTTAGTCATTTAAGACATTTTAGGTCATAAGTTTACATACATTGACCGTTGCATTTAGTAGGCCTATTCTGGTCTAAATAAGCTTTTTGCATCTTTGGTGTTTACACACACAAATTAAGCAGTTTATACGTACATTTAATGTTACTTTGAAATTACTTTTGATGCAATAAATAATCCTAAATAGTTGAAAGTGTTAACATATTCTTGAAATGTAGTTATTTTATAACTATGAAATTTATTACTAAACAAAGTGAATCATTATGAATTTGCCAAGAAATAATCCACTTTACCACTGTAAAGCAATGCCCCACACTCACTAGAACGGTAGAACCTGGACTGTATGATATGTTCTGTATGTAAAATAGAGAAAATAAGCAAGATGCGCAGTCTCATGCAGCCTTAGTGAAATATAGCGCGTCACAATGAACTAAAAATAAAACCACCCTTGAAATGCTGGCGATCTTAATTTTTTCAGCCTACACTGACTGAGAATAATGTTGCACTATTTTATTAACAAATAATTAGAATGTTTTTTTCCCTTCAACTCATTCATCATTACTTTTGCCTGTGCAAGTTTTTTGCGCGCGCTTGAGCGCGAAGGCATCTATTTTCAGGTGCAAGATGCCACTTTGGGTGGCACCAGCACACTCTGCCACACCTGTGGCTATGTCCCTGCTACAATAATAATAACAACAACAACGACAAAATAATAACAAAAAATAATAATAATAAGACAGGCCTACTTTGACGTTGCAATAAAAAAGTATTAATTATCAAATAAATATTTACAATAGGCTAAAGGCATATATTAAATTAAAATAGGAGAAAATCCAATAGAAACAAATGGTACCATTTATTATAGCCCCATGCAGGGTCCAATGTGTTCTTACAACCATTGAATAACTAAGTAAATAATAATAATAACAATACTAATAATAATAGGCCTAATAATAATAATAATAGGCCTAATAATAATAATAATAATAAATTATTATTTTATACAGAGTAGGCTATTATTTAGGCCTACAATAGCTCTGAAACAATCAAGTAAACCAGGTGCTGCTCGGAAATGGCTTTCTTTGCTCAGCATCAGGTGCACAGCAGCAAGAAGCTTGGCAGTGAACTATGACCTTATTTTAATGACAAATGTCTAAGAATACTGCTGATTTACGTTTTAATTAAATTTATACATACGCAATGAATGTAAGCCTGCTAACTGTGTGTGGTTCAAATGATAGAATATGTAAACTTTGTTTATATATATAATTAAATAATAATAATTAAAAGCCTGCGTGTAAGGCTTTTATTTTGAGGACGACGTCACGAGCGCAGATTTGGTTAACCAGTTAGAGGAAAGTGGGCGTTTCAGCACCGCCTACATGTGTAAAATGAATTTTAAAGTCGTTTATCCGTTTTCCTACCCTAAACCAAAGAACGAAAATCCAGCCAAAATCTCGTTTTTTCGTTTTCTCGTGAGCAAAAGGAAAAACGGAAAAACGGCCGTTTTCTCCATTTCCTTTATTCCGTTTGAAAATGGAAAACAAATGAACAAAACGTACACGGACCGACCACCAGCAATAACTGAAATTAAAAAAAAGTAATAAAAAGGTAATAAACAATTTAAATGTGTTTAGCCACAGTTCACAATTTTAATCAAAATAAAGGGGTAGTGCAAACAAAACAGAAAATTCTGGCATCATTTTCTCACCCTTAATTGTTCCAAACTTGTTTGACCTTTTTGTTCTGTTGAGCACAAAAGAAGATATTTTGAAGAAGGCTGGAAAATCAGTAACCATTGGTTTCCTTAATATTTGTCAATGGTTACAGGTTTTCAGCTTTCTTCAAAGAAAGAAATTAAGAAGTAAGAAATAAACTCCTAAATGTTTGGATACACCTAACAGTAAGTAAATGGTGACTATTTTATTTTTTGGGTGAGTTATCTTTTGACCGGTAGTGTAGATATAAAAATATATGGAAAAAAGGAGTATCAAATGGAAAGCAGAGTGACAAACAGAGAGAGAGAGAGAGCGAAACTGGCCAGTGCTATAAGTGGGTTGAGCACAAATGGGGATCCATTGATTGAGCCTGTGAGTGAGGATGGCCAACAGCATTTCTCTTTCTCTCCATTTCACCATTGTTCCCTTTCTCTTGCTCTTCTGGCCACTGGGTGTGAAGGACACCAATGTGACAACTAATTACCCAGTTGGAACCCAGCAGAGCTAATCCAATGCAGTTCTATTCCTCCTTATTATCGTCCACAGGTTTATAATTCCTCTTCTGGGTGACTTTATGCTGATCAGGACAAGAACTGTAGCACAAATCCACTAAGAAGTGTTAAAGAGCCCCAATTAATTACTTTGAAGCACCTCAATCAATATCCTTCTTCAGTTGTCAGAATGAACGAGCAGGATGTTTTAATATGAAATAATCAAAAAAGGCATTTCAAGCATGAAAATAAGACAAAAGTACACTTAAAAATGTTTAACTTAAGTTTGATTGAGCATAAAACAATTAAGTTGCCCCCCCCTGCCCCCCCTTTAATTCTTATTAATGTAGCTCATTTTTAATAAGTAGTTTGAACAATAATTTGTTGAGTGTAATACATAACTTGTTCTTTTTAAAATTAATTTAATAGTTTTTGTCTGACCAAAATAGCTATCAAACATGTTTTATGACGCACAGAAGACATTATTTACCAATAGTTTTTATTTTACACTCAAAAAAGACTTTTGCTGTATGTTTAAACTGCTTATTTAAATTGAGTTGAAACAACACAGTTCTTGGGATTTTGATGGGAGGTCAACTTAACTGTTCTATGTTTAATCCACTTCAATTTGTAAATTCACTAATTTTGTCCCAGCACAAATTGATATTGTGAACACAACATTTTTTACAGTGTATATGAAAAATAAATTTGAGGCATATTTATAATAATTAAATTTAATTCATGCTTATTTCTATAGCCCTTTACAATGCAGATTGTGTCAAAGCCGCTTAGAAGTTCTAGTAAAGTGCAGATTTCAGAGTTGAAGTTCAGTTTTGTTAAGTTCAGAGTAGTTAAATTTCACTGCTGAAAGTTCAAACACTGAAGAGCAAATCCATCGATGCACAGCTCCACAAGTCCCGATTCGAGCAAGCCATTGGCAACAATGGCAAGGAAAAGAAGACTTCACCAATTGACGAAGTGAAGGGGGAAAAAAACTCAAGAGAAACCAGACTCTGGTGGGCAGGACCCATTAGAGTTATTATTTAGCCTTTAACTTTCAGATTAAAGCACAATGTTATAATATTACTTTTAATTTATGCCTTACCTCAAACATATGTTATGCTGAATGACAATTAAACATTATTTTACTCGTATTCATATATTGTAAATGTAAAAAGATGTAAATAACATCACTTTTATCAGTTTTGTTTGATCCGAACACTAAAATGCATGGGAAAAAATATTCAAAGATGTTTCTTTGGATGTACTAAATTGTTTTCAAGGGTAAGTGGTTGTAAACTGTTTATTTGGGGCTGAATTTAAACAAACAAAGTTGAACATTACTAAATTTATTTATTTTCGTTAAATTCAACCCATATAAATTGTTTGCAACAATTTTGCAGAAATGTATTTTTCAGTGTGGGATGTCTTGCAAATAATAGTCAACAAGTGTACTTTTTACAATATAAAACATGCTTTTGTTTCTACTGTATTTAAATTTTATGTGAAACATTCAGAATAGACAGCATTTATTTAAACTAGATACAGTGCTCAGCATATAAATGTACACACTTACAAATCGATCTTTTATTTTTTAATAGGAAGCTTTACAATATTATTTTTGCGCAAATACATTTGATTAGTCAGTACTAAAGCCATAACTTGAGCTTATATAACAAACTACCTTGCGATAATGGTCCAAAAACTAGTACACCCAAATGTATATGTTATAGAAAAATATTAAATACAAATTAAAAAAGAAAAATCAAACGAAGCAAAAAGAATTGAAAAATTTAGTTGTCATTTTGAAGGTTGTAATTTTTTTAATATTTTGCATGAATTTAATTGTATTATCTTTCAGTTACTAAACATGTTTGATGACTAAAATATTATTTTAATAAATATATCTGTTTAATTAATCTGTTTTGTTTAAATGCATCTAAATACATTGCCCAAGTTTACTGACAAATAGATAAAAATATTCATTTTCAAAATTCTAAATTATGCTGAGCACTGTGTATTTAGGTATTCAGTCGATTTCAATCCATCCTTCCTAATTTAAAATAGTATTTTTGTTTCAAATGTAAGGTACAAGTCTCTTCAAAATGCTCAAAACAGTTCAATTACGAGAACAAACGATTTCCAAAACATGTAGTGTTCACTCAAATCAGTTGCACCTTTACAGAAATGTGTCTTGAACATTTGTAAAAGCCCGAGGGCAACTGTGATTTAATTTGTTCTCATTAAAGTAAGTGTATATCAAAATCAAAGCCAGTGAGAAAACACTACTAGCTGAGGAAAGAGACTGGCCTTGCAGAGAGGCTTTAACTCCGGTCGTGTAATTATGTATCTTTCCATCAGTCATTTGTTCTGTTAATTATTTCACCATCGATCTGTGATTGGCAGAGATTCAGCAAAGCAGCTCAATGTGTGCCACTGCCCCGAGTCAAGAGCAAAAGCCATAACCAGAGAGCATCACGCTTCATATATGTTGCAGAAACATATATTTGGTTTGCAGTTATGACATAACCCGTGACAGACTCAAAACAACAAACACATGTTTATAAATAATTCATCATCACCTCATCTGTATTCTCTCAGGATGGACCATGATCGAGGCATGGGAAACAGTCGTTACCGCTATGAGGAGGAGGAGGGTGAGTAGCCTTAGGCATGAAACACACACACACGTTATTTTTAATGATTAATCAGGCAATCAGCATGACATGAGTTTCATGTTGTGCAGTGAGGTTAGTTTAGGACGTTGTTACGGTTAAGGTTGAAGCATGTACAGTAGAGTATGTTGCCCACTGACTGATGTCTTTTTTTTTTTTTGCATTTTTTTGTCACACTTAAATGTTTCTGATCATCATACTATTTTAAATGGTATTCAAAGATAAAACAAGTAAACACATCCTACAGTTTTTTTTATTAAAGTGTTTATGTTAATTATTACCTCTTAATCATAAAATTTAAACACAACTGAATAAAACATAACTGGATTCTGGCTCATCACACCTGATTTAGCCACACCCAAGTCTGATTACTGCAACAACTGGTCACAATCTTAATCTTAATCTTCATCTTAAAGCTACAGTATGTTAACTACTAGGTATTGTACTCCTGGATCAAAACAAAAGCAAGTGCAGGTTGCCAGATTGAGGACAGGGTCAAATTTATATTCTACATAGAAGCAACGGCACATGATAGAAGGAATATTTTCCACAGTAAAAGGAGTTTTTGTCCCAAACAATACCCCGAATTGATATATTAGAAACGGTTTCTATTTCTCACACGTGAACAACAAAAAACTGACAATCACCTCAGGTAAACCTCATGTGCTTTATTCATTGGTAAATGCTAATAATGTGAGTTTGAATGCCACTTTACATGACATTTATTGCCATACTGAAAGCAGCAGCAGATAATTCACCAGAGATCTTGAAAATATAGAACTAAACACATATGAATAATCCAGCATGTACATTTAATAATATTAAAGAGGGTTAATTTTTATTAAATAGATCATACACCCTACCATATCATGAGTGAGAGCATATTCTGTTCTTCTGAATGGTTGTATTTCAATATCTGTCCTGTTTCGTCTGGTGTAAATCACCAGATTGCTATTCACTGCATATTTCGTCACGTAGCCTCTTGCTAGCACACGGGGTTACAATTTAGCCAGCTCACCTTTACATTTGTAATATTATTTGCTAATTTATAACCTCACGTGGAACTGAATCAGCATGTCATTTCGGAGTCTGCTACTGTCCACTGGAGATCATATTTCTGTCACGGACGCATGCTTTCAGAGCCTTTCTAAAAGAAAGAAAGAAACCAACCAACCAACTAACTAACTAACTAACTAACTAACTAACTAACTAACTAACTTAACTGACAGCTTAACTGACATTGGGCAGATTAAAATTACCCAAACAAAGACAGACGTTCCAGCAGGTAACTCACATTTTCAAAGCAGAATATCTGACTTCAGCATTGTTTTTTCAGATAAACAAGTATTGACATGGTTCTTGCATATTTGCAAACATATTATGATGTTTTTATGCTTTAGAAGAGTCAAAAACTTACATACAGCACCTTTAATTTAACATGTTGGCAATCTTTAAAATCTTTGATTTTGTTTTGCAAAAGTCTATACAGGGAGCCTGTTTATATAATGAAAACCCAGACTTTTATAGCTGAGTCAAATATCGTTTCATACGCATTTCTGTAGAGCTATCAATGCAGTAGCCAATTAAATGTTTACAATAGTCACCTCTGAAAGAAAGAGAAGGTTGTTTAGTTGGGTTGTTTGTGAAGTCTAGATATGAATTTGTATTCAGTAATTTTATCAAGGAAATTCATTTTGTTTAAGTATTTGTAATTATATAATGTAATATATATATATATATGTTTTTTTTTTTGTTTGTACCAAAATCTGCAGCCTGGGTAACCGCAAGTTTTCATAATAGAGCGTATGACCAAATTTCCATGTGTGTCACCATGATGGTGTTTAGCAGTTGTGTGAATGACACTGAGTGCCCTCTACATTTCATTGTTCTACCGTTGCTCTACATATTTATTTCTTTGCTTTTGAATAAGTTGTTTTTGATGAACATTGGTTCATCGTATGACTTTCCCATCCACACATGCTTATGGTTGTGTTTTTGTCTGTGTAACAAAGCTACTTTGTGCTGATATTAGTGCTTCCAAACAGTGGCTTACATCTATAAAAGATTTCATGGACCAACAGGGTTTGTCTGTATAAGCAGATTAGATCATTTCTATAAATATGTTTTATATGCATTCTGTTAATATACAGTACATTAAAAACCATTAGGCCTACTGAAAAATCAATCAATAGCAGTCATCATTTTGCAGCCCAACATTGTGAGGAATTTCTCATTTTAAAATGTCGAATCTTCATAACCGTTCATAATAATTACTATGATAGGATACATTTATGTATACTGCCCCTTAATGGAGTAGCTATCTGACTTTACAATTTTGTAAAGTTAGTAAAAATGTCTCCTTCAGATTTACATTTATTTTGTGCTGTCATCTTTTACTGTGAGCTAAATGTGATACGAACCTGTTAAATAGCCTATGGCTACAACAAAAACTGCAGCAGAAAGAGGCTCATTGTACCCTTTTCTCCTTTTCCTTTCCATTATATTTGTAAGATTTGACAACCCCCAATCAGGAACCTAAGTGTCACACATATCTTGTCATTTCGCTATTTGAAAGAGTTAGAAAAGGCAACATTATGTTCACATTATGTTCAACTAAGGGAAAATATTATTACTGTGCAACAGCTAAAAATGTTTTTCACATTACTGCTCTTCAAATTTGCCTGATAGTTTTTTCCCCTTCATTTCACACCTAACATATGTTTTGATGAGGGATAATTATGGGTATGACATGAAATTACACAAGCAACAGTGTTCGCCGAGGGAGAAAATTATGGATGTTTTATTTATGTAACTGTTTTATATTGTTATCAGTTGTTAAATGTAGTTTTCAGCAGTCATACTAATCAAATATTCTGATCATTTCAGTTATCATTAATAATTCTATAATATTCAGCAATCTAATAATTCTGATAATTGACCAAACATTCTAATGACTATACTAATATGTGAGTTATATATATTTATTCATACAACATCTTTTTCTGGTTCTCTAATCTTATTGGCTGATAGCTGTGCAATATTCTACAATAACAGCACTCATACAGCTTCCTCACCCTTGTGTTACTCCGCCTACACAGAAAGACAGCAGATCAATAAACTTACTACAGTTTTGACAAATATTGTTGCTGTTGGACAACATAATCAGTGTTGGAGAGTAACTAATTACATGTAACGGTGTTATGTCATTTAATTACATAATAAATGTAACTGTAATTCATTACAGTTACTGAGAAAAAAATGTGTAATTAAATTATAGTTACTTATGAAAATGTTAAAGATTACAAACGGGGTTACATCTAAAAAATTGTCTTTAAAAATCTGGGATATGTTGAATAATATTCATTTATTCACGGGCGAGGCAGTGGTGCAGTAGGTAGTGCTGTCGCCTCACAGCAAGAAGGTCGCTGGGTCGCTGATTTGAACCTCGGCTCAGTTGGCGTTTCTGTGTGTAGTTTGCATGTTCTCCCTGCCTTCCCGTGGGTTTCCTCCGGGTGCTCCGGTTTCCCCCACAGTCCAAAGACAAGTGGTACAGGTGAATTGGGTAGGCTAAATTGTCCATAGTGTATGAGTGTGTGTGTGCGAATGTGTGTGTGGATGTTTCCCAGAGATAGGTTGCGGCTGGAAGGGCATCCGCTGCGTAAAAACTTGCTGGATAAGTTGGCGGTTCATTCCGCTGTGGCGACCCCGGATTAATAAAGGGACTAAGCCGACAAGAAAATTAATGAATGAATAATTTATTGATTTGCTTGTTTTTTAGATGCTCAAACCCTTCTGCTAAGGGTATCATTAAAGTGGTGCTATTCTGCTATAACTACATTTCTCCGTAGCATCAATACTTTCTAAATAAAATAGCTTTTCAGTAGTAACGTTTTTTTAGTCAAGTAGCGCAGTAGCGTCCACACAAGCTACATTTACAGATCGAGAATCAATAAGTGATGGCATAAGTGATTCACAGAGCTGTGAGGCCGGTGTGTAGCCGATGAAAGTAAATCTATATGATTGTAAGAATGATGACTACCAGTTTTTCTGCGGTCGACAACATACTTTTTGGTGCATTACTGCCACCTCTTGCTCTGGTCCCCAGCCAAGGCTAACACGAGAAATTTGCTTCATGGAAAGATAACTGAGGGAGAGGATTTTATTAATCAAGAATTGTAAATAAGTAAAAAGCTTATTCCTAAATATTTCCCATGACTGTAAATTACTATAATATTTAAAATGTGTAACTGTGTTTTTAACACCTGGTTTTAGAACACCTGGTTTTAGTACAGCATATAAATTACAGTAAATAATTCAACTGAACAATTCTGCTTCATATTTTTCATTGACAGTTTTATTGATTTTTTTTTTATAATGTCTGGTTTTGTGGTGGCTGTACTTTAAAATTAAATTGATATAATCTTAATTCAATAATGAAAGCTTTTGAAAACAGTGCTACTGTAAGGTCACACCTGCTTGATATAAATGCTTCAAATGATTTAGCCGGAAATATCCATTAGAAACTTAAAAGTAATCAAAAAGTAATCAGATGTTAACAGTTACTTTACTTTTATAAAGTAATTAAAAGGGTACACTAATTACATTTTAAATAGGGTAATTTGTAATCTGTAGTCTATTACATTTCCAAAGTAACCTCCTCAACACTGAACATAATGTACTTTTGAGGGTTTTTTTAGGTGAGAATGTAGTTGTTTAGATTGAGATTATTTCAGACATTCAGCACATCGGCAGTCACTAGATTGTCATTGAGCAGAGCAAAGAGGGTTGACTTTCCGTCACAAGATGGCGACAGAGACTGCATAATACGTCCTTAGGAGAGAGAAAACTAAGCGAAAAAAATCTAATTACAGCCTATCAAATCATTCTAAAACTGATAAGTGATGCTGTAAGTTTATCTCTCTCTTTTGTATGTTGTTGTGCTGTATTTATACCATAGTAAACTAGTAGTGTTTGCTTTGCTTTGGCTTTTTTGAGATTAATTATTGTGATCTCCCGATTGCAACAGAGAAATGCTGGGAAATCTCTCTAGACTGATGGCATTTCATGCCGTTTAGCCTTATATTCTGAAAACATGAGCAAAATCACATGTTTTGTCATCACTTTAGACATTACGTTCATCATTCAAATGCTAGCTCTAAAGGGCCGTTGGTGAATTAGTAAAGGATTCTGCTGTTTTGACATCAGCTGCAGATTTGAAGGAATGGCAGAAGAAAGTAGTTCCTCATACTAAAAGACTATGAGACTCTCTGTGTTTCAGTTTCTTTTTTATACACACGATTATGCTGTCGAACTGTTGTATGAACACAATATCACTCTCGTGGGGGTGTGATATGGCTTTATATCATCACTACTAAGGCACAAGGCCGAATCGCACTGCTACTTATGAGATATATTATAGTTATATTTCTATATGACTATACATGAGTTGTTTTTAGCAACATTAGTCTTTCTAATCATTATAGTAGCATTATAAATTAAGCAATAAATTAAGCTATACAAATTGCATATGTTTATGATTATAAATATACAAGTTGTTCATGGGAAACATACTTCTAAGTAGTACTATTGAAACAAGTTTTAAGATTAAAAATGTTGATATTTTTGAAGAAACAATGAGTTTATATAAAGTATAAGATTGCTTATTTCTTTTTAAAGTAAACTTTCTAGCTGTATGGTTTTTAGCATTTGAAATGTTAAACAAACCCTTCAAAAGTTTAGTCTTTGTTTTTATTATGCTATTATTATAAATGAACCTATAAAATAATCCATAAAAATTTTATAATTTATTGTTAGATCAATGGTTGCATTGCTCTTTTGATTTAATGAATAATAGATCGAGAGACTAAACTTAAACAAGGTGTTTTGCTCAAGGTTAGACATTTTCTTGTAGTAATTATCTGTCCTTTGGCAGAACTGGCAAAATTATTGCAAATAAATAGACTATTTATTGATCCTGCAGAGTGTCAATATCGACAACTACTCTGTCAATGGTAAAGCCGGATCATGCCACTTTGGTCTTGATCGTGTTTGCTTGAAAGAGCAGAACATTTTCTATGGAGCATGAAATTGCTTTCCAAAATCAATGCCATCCAAGGCATGGAACAATATGTTGTCAAGCTTCTCAAAAAATCTGTTCTTCCTCCCACAGACCATCAGTCCATCTACATTGGTGTGCCAGTGCCTCGCGGTTACCGTCGCAAACGCAGACGGAGACGTTCATCCATGTCAAGTCGTGATGCAGATGTAGATCGAAGACTTCGACATGATCATCACAGACATGAACACTACGAATGTGATGACAGAGACCGCTATGATCTGGAGGCGGGAGGCCTGGATCAAGCAGAACACAACTTGCCACCAGACATCAACAGAACCAGTGAGTGTTTTATCGGCTACAAAATAAGGATTCACATTAATTCCATTCACACATGCGTTATTTATAAACTGAGCTGGGTAGATTACTTGTGAATTCGAATCAGTTACAGATTACATATGACATGACGAAATATGGAATCAGTTATCTAATCTCTTACATTAGATAAACTTTAACTCTGAAATCTGGACTATACTAGATCTGCTAAGCTGCTTTGACGATCTACATAAAAGCGCTATATAAATAAACATGAATTGAATTGTGCATTTATGGTTTTGTAATTGGTTTATTTTGGATTACATTTAGATTACTTTTGTGAAAACCATTGTTTGATGTCCCGCATAGATGTAGTGTAACCTTGTGCTATTTTGACAGATACAAAGAAAAATATTTTCCATTCTTTATCACCAAGAAGTACCTCAACGGCTTCTTTTGAAAATGCAATGTATGGTCAGTATCACAATACTAACACTAATATACCTTGCTGATAGCGACACTGAATACACCACGAAACCAAATCGAAACCAAATCACATCTTATGATTTTGAGGTGTATTCTGAAAAACATTCAGCAAAAACAATCCATTTTGACATGCTACTTTGGCACGTACAAAGAAAGATATTTTTTTAAAGTGGTTTTTAAAGACCTATTGAGCAAAAAACACTTTTATAAGGGGTTTAAACACAGTTGTGTGCTAACAGTGTGTGAATATAACAAGTGTCTAATAGTAAAAAAATATTAATCTTACTTTTTATAATCACACTTAAACCTAATCGCAATTCTATTTTTGTACCCCTACCCCTTCCCCTTGGCCCTTGAAACAGAGTGTAAAGGGGGAGGGCTTCAAATTATACCCCTAAAAAATGGGACAGCATTACAACACCCTTACACGTCATCATACTATTGATATCAGCATTTAAAGGTCACTTTAAGCCAGGGGTCTCAAACTCAAATTAGCCAGGGTCCATTTTAGTGACTGACAAACAATATGAGGGCTGTTGTAACTTCCAGGGTGCGATGCTTATGTTCGCATTGGTGTGGCGACTGTACAGTAGGTGGCCTGCGGGCCAGCAGTTTGAGACCCCTGCTTTAAGCTGTATAGAAATGTCTTAAAAAATATGTAGTCAAATATTATTTACTGTCATCATATCAAAGACAAAATAAATCAGATATTAGAGATGAGTTATTAAAACTATTATGTTTAGAAATGTGTTGAAAAAATCTCTCCGTTAAACAGAAATTAGGGGAAAAAATAAATAGAGAGGATAATAATTCAGGGGATTTAATAACTCTGACTTCAACATACTCTAGGTACATCAGAGGCTTATATTACATCTTTTAAAAGGGACATAATATGTCATATTTAATACTTGAACCTTGCTTGTAGTAATCTTATGATTTTAAGTTGATTGTAAATGTATTTGAAACAATTTAATTTAGAGAAAAACAAATAAAAACATTATAGTACAACATGACATTCACAGCAATATAAAAACCAATGGTCACACTTCACTTTACAATAAGGTTCATTAGTTAATGTTAATTAATGCATTTACTAATGGGATTAAACAATGAACAATACATTTACTACTGTATTTGTTCATGTTAGTTAACGTTAGTTAATGAAAATACAGTAGTTCATTGTTAGTTCATGTTAACTCATGGTGCATTAACTAATGTTAACAAGCATAGACTTGGATGTTAATAATGCATTAGTAAATGTTCAATAATGATTAATAAATTCTGTACATGTGTTGTTCATGATAGTGGTTCAAATGAATGAATTAACCAATGAACCTTATTGTAAAGTGCTACCAAACCAATAGAAGTGCATATGACAGATTCAGTGACGAACATTAAATCAACATGTAAATGCAAAGAATCACAAACATATTTAAGCATTGGGTTTATTATGAACAAAATATAAACTTAAAAAAATTGGAGAGTCAATAAATTGTGAACAACTTACAGCCAATGTATAAATAATATTAATAAAACTGAAGTCTAATTGCAAGAATAAAAAAAAAAAAAACTCCAATTACATGTACTTGATTTTTGTAATCTGATTACTTAATGCAAATTACATGTAATCTACTACTACCAAACTTTGTTTGAAAAGCATGTCATGATTCACTTTTGCCATATGATTGAAAAGGATGATAAGATTTGATTTAAGAATATATAACATACTTTTTTAATGCCATTATGGTGACCCTAAAAACTAGTGGTGGGCATCCATTCAGATGTTCTTATTTAGCAAGCTCTATTGCTAATGCTATTAATATTTCTAAAAATGGTCAGTGGATTTTATTTAATGTTGTGCATGGGTACATTAAAGCAGAACCAACACATATGTGAAATAAATAGTCATTATGTGTATATATATATATATATATATATATATATATATATATAATATTAAAATGTTTTATCAAATATACATAAATATAAAAAAGTATGAATATATTCAGCCAAAAGCAGTGAATGTTTTTTTTTCTTTGTTGTTTGATTAATATTAACAGTATAAAAATACTATTAGACTGCTTTGACTTTAAGACCTAGTACGCAGAAAATGTCTCTGAACTGCCTTTAATTAGACATGTTAGACTCTTGACATGAAAACACAAAAAGATGGGCACTTTGACAAATAAGTGACCCTCTCTTTTTTAATGACTCTCCAAAAACGTCCTGCTCTTTCAAGTGTCTGTGTTTCCTTGCTAAACAAATATGTTTACATGTTATCATATCTTACTCAACCCTACTGTGATTTCCCACACTAAAACAGAATATAGAAATATAGATGACTTTTGATAATCAATATCCCCTCTACAAAAATAATCCATTGATAAATCTATTTATTTGTGATAATATAAAAAAAAAGTGAGACTCTATATCATACCAAATCGAGAGGTCTCTGCAGAGCAACATATCCAAGGAAATGTATCTTGAAGTGAGAATGCAAATGGAAGAGGACTATAGGGAGCAATACCACCATATATTTCTGTTTGCGTGTGTGAAATGGAGTTGCACTCAGTTTATGGGATTTATACCCCACATCCTCAATCTCAATATCATGCTGTGCCGAGAGTCGTCACTGCACAATAGAAGACCATGAAAAACAATTATGCTGATGCGTCTCTTAAAGCTTGAGAATAAACAGCCTACGCTGCATCAAAGTTTTGCATTCAGAAACAGTGAAAGAAACAAACATTCAGAGAAAATGCACTTTCATTTATTACTTTTATATGCTAGATTAGCACTCTAAAGATATGTGTGTTTGTGGAGCATAAAATTAATAGATTTTAAGTGAACTTCATACGGGCATTTAAGTGTTCTATGAGTTTTAAGTCTGTTCGATTTTTAATGACTTCTCCATAAAATATTATTAATTAAGTTTTACTTTTTCATACAATTCTATTATTAGGATATTTAATTAGATTTCAGTCATAGTTTTTAGCAGCTTTAGTATATTTCATATTTGGTATAGTACTATTTTGTTTTAGTATATATATATATAAATATATATATATATATATTTCAGCTGTCAATTGCCAGTAATGTATTATTATTATTTAGTAGTAATAGTAGTAGTCATCGTCATCGTAGTCGTATTATTATTATTATTAATATTATTAGTGGTAATCGTAGTCATTGTCATTGTCGTATTATTATTATTATTATTATTAGTAGTAGTAGTAGTAGTAGTAGTACTAGTCACAGTCTGCATCATAGTAGTAATAGTTGCATTTTTATTATTTTTATTTTAGTGGTAGTCGTTGTGGTAGTCATAGTTGTCGTCGTAGTATTATTATTTTTATTAGTAGTAGTAGTAGTAATGGTAGTCGTTGTTGTTGTCATATTATTATTATTATTATTATTATTTGTAGTAGTTGCCGTTGTCGTAGACGTATTATTATTATTATTATTATTATTATTAATACTAGAAGTAGTACTAATCGTAGTGTGCGTCGTTGTAGTAATAGTCTTATTATTATTATTAATAGTAATAATAATAATAATATTAAAGTCATTGTCATACTATTATTATTATTAGTCGTAGTAGTAGTGGTAGTCGTCATCGTAGTAGAAGTCTTATTATTATTTATATTATTAGTAGTCGTAGTTGTCATAGTCGTATTATTATTATTATTATTAGTTGTGGTAGTATTAGTCGTCGTAGCAGTTGTATTATTAGTTCTATTATTATTATTATTATTAGTATTAGTAGTAGTAGTAGTAGTAGTGGTGATCGTTGTAGTAGTAGTTGTATTACTATTATTAATATTTTTATTAGTTGTAGTTGTCATTGTCAAAGTCGTAGTAGTCTTATTATTACTATTATTATTATTATTATTATTATTAGTAGTAGTAGTAGTAGTTGTAGTAGTAGCAGTCATAGTATTTTTATTATTATTATTAGTGTTAGTAGTAGTCGTGGTAGCCATATAATTATTATTATTATTATTAGTAGTAGTAGTAGTTGTAGTATTACTATTATTATTATTATTATTATTAGTGGTATTGTTTTTATCATTATTATTAGTTTTTTAACAAGAACAATAATTCACTGATGATAAAAAATTGCCAGTAGATGATATGGTTCTATGTTTTATTATTGTAATTTCATTATTATTATAAGCTATTATTATCATTTTTCCCTATAACCTTTTTGATTTGCCATTTGAAATCCTCCATTCTAAAAACGATAGGAGATTCCTGAGGGAATCCACTGTAAATTAACCTTCCTGTCATGGCCATGCAGCTAAAAACATCCCACTGTTACACCTCTAAAGCCTGACATGAGCTAAAAAAGGCCATAACCTCTTTTACTGCTGACATGGAACTCGATGTTATTGATCTTTCCTGTCCTAACTTACAGCTGTGAGTAATTACACTTCACCTCTCTGCTGCTTCAGCAGACGTTCCGCCATCTGCAACAATAAATATTTAAAATTGTGTTGAAACCGAAGCAATGACAGATTCTTTTATTTCATATTGTGACG